GCCGGGCCAGGCGCGGGACCAGGCGCGGGGCCAGGCGCGGGGCCGATTAGCGCAGCGGCAGAGGCGAGCAGAGCCGCACGGGGCCCCGGGAGGAGGGCGCTGACGCGGGCGCCGCCGCCGCCGCCGGGGCTTCCAGCAATCCGCGGCCCGAGCCGGGGCGCGCCGCGCGGGGCTCCAGTTTCGCCAGCCCCGGTGCTATTTAAAGGTGTCAGGTGGCTCCGCGGCGGCTCCTGGCCCCGGGTCCTGGCGGCGGCAGTTGGAAAAGCCGAGGCGAGGGCGCCGATCCCGTACTGCGAGGGGAGGCGGAGAGATGGGGCAATTGACTATTGCTAACAAGTTAGCCTTGATCGAGGAGTAATCAATTATCTGCAGCGGCACTTCTCTATTTCTCTTTCCTTTCTCCCTTTCTCCTTTCTCTTCTTTCTCTCTGTTCTCTCTCCTCCTGCTCGCTCTCTCTCCCTCCCTCTCTCTCTCTCTCTCTTCTCTTTTCTCTGCTCCCCCCCGTCTCTCTTCTTCTCTCCCTCTCCCTCGCCCTCTCTTTCACTCTCTGTCTGTCCAATGCAGGCGGCTCTAAGTTGGGAAGCTCATTAATTAGCGGGCCGGGGGTAGGAGGAGCCGGCTGGAATTAGCCTGCCTAATGCGCCTGTCAGTCCGGGCGCCGCGCCGCGCTCGGCCCGAGCTGTTTGTAAATTACATTAGCCGCGCCTTTATTGCACCCGAACCTCGGGCGACTCAAAAGCCGCCGCCCCCACCCCAAACTGCGAGCCTCGCTCCCGGCGCACCCGCCTCCCGCCGGTCTGGCTGCGATGGCAGCGCTGGCCCGGAGGTCTCAGGCTCTCCGACCCGGGATTTGGCGCCCGAGAAGGGCGGCGTGAGCCCAGCCGGAGAGGGACGTGGCCGCTACGCGGGCCAGGTAAGACCAGGAGCCGGGATGGGCCCCTCCACCGCCCAGCGAGGACTTTGCCGAGCTGATATCAAGGACCCAGCGTCCCTACCCCTCGACCCTCTTGTCTGTCACCTCCGGCCTCGGGCCATGCGCCTGGGGAGAGGGAATCTGCAGCTTCCGAGGATGGCCCGCGGGAGGTTCGTGAGGGTACTGCAGCCCTGGATGAGACGACACGGGACAGGGCTGGAGGACCCCAGGGGTTGGGGGAGGGGGCCAGTCAGAGGACTCAGTCTTCACCAGCCGAGAGCTGACGGGTGAGTTGTTGGTGGCTCCAGGCACCTCTTCCCCGGCCCGAGGCAGTAGCAACAGCCTTACCTCTTCTTGCAATCTTGCACACTCTTTCCTCGGGCTGTGGCTCTTCCGGTCGACTGGGGCCACGGCCCGCCCGGTGACCGGCGCCCGACCGGGCAGCCGGGCGGGTTGCCTGGGCTAACGGGGCCGGCTCGGGGCCTCCCCGCTGCGCTCTGCCCAGGCCCCGGCCGGGGCCCCGCTGCCGGCCCCGCCCAGCCCAGTGCCGGGCTGGAGTACACCACCCGACTCCAGCTGTTCCGGATGCGGGGCGGGGGCCCGGAGGGGGCCGGGCCACGGCTGGGACTGCGCTCCCAGGAACCCGCAGGGAAGCCCGGTTCGAGTCAGACTGGGGGCTGGGAACCCTACGGCCGGCCGGACTCTTGTATATCAGGCGAGCATTTGTGCACAGCGGTATTTGAATGTGTTTACGTTTGAATATGTACATTTGCGTGGGGTTAGAAATGTGGTGTATTTGTGTAAACCTGTGGGTACTTAGGCGCGTTGGAACCCTATGTCTTTCATTCCCCAAAGGCACCCAAAGGGGCTGTACCCCCCCCCCCCCCCCGGGCTCTTTTTGCTCTGGCTTCTCTCCTCTGGTTTGTATGGGGCCGTTGGCCCCACCACCTAAATTTTCCATGTCTGTCCCTGAAGAAGGGAGGGGAGCAAGGAGGGGGCTAGAGCCAAGGGAGCTGTTTCTCTCCCCACATACAGCCTCAACCCTTTTCCTGGCTTTGTTTGTAAACTCCTGGGCAGACGGTGTGGTCAGGCAGCCCTGCTTAGTCAAGAGAAGGGCCCAGAGAGGCCAGTGCAGAGGACTGTGGCCCAGCCTAGAGGTTAGGATGGGAAGAATAGGACCTTCTAGACTTCTTGGACCTCCTTCCATACTGCCCCAGAGAGGAAGTGAGCCAAGCTGGGCTGTGGGGCAGGGGGCAGGTTCTCTCCCTGGATGACTCCAGCATGGGGGTCTCTGCACATCAGAGATTGGTTCATCGCCCATTTAGTTATTTGTTTAGAACACGGCTTGCAGCTCCCCAGAGTAAAAGAGAGAGTGTAGGGAGGAAAGATTCCTGTTTGGGACCCCAGTGCCTGCCCTGGCCCTGCTTGGGAGTATTGGGAAGAGTTATTTAGCCTTTTCCCCATCTTTTCCCTGCATTTGTGGGGAGGACAGGTGCTCAGAGGCAGGAATGGTGAGAATGGGATTCTTTCTCAGTTCCTCCAGAGCTGCAGAATTGTCCTCAAGGCAGGCCTGTCTCTAGTGCATCAACACTGTTCTGAAACCGTGAGGTGATGCTGGGCCTACCAACAGTGGAGTCAGAGTTGAGAGAGGTGGAGAGCCACCTGAGCGAGAAGGTGCCCCGGAGCCTGATGGACTCTGCAGGCTTGGAAGCTTAGGGACCGAGAGGGGTCTGCGCTCTCCTCACTTCCTGCCTCAGCCTCTGGTCCCCAGCCCTTTCCCAACATAACCCCAAAAGCCCTGACCCAGAGCCTCGGGCAAACCATATCCCCCATGCTAGAGAGGAGGCCCCTCCAGATCAAGGAACAGGGACTCTTGAGTCGCTATCTTGGAAGGGGCTTCATCCCATAACCCCCTGCCATTCTTCCTGTCTGCACCTGATATTGTCTGCAGGACAGGATCTTAAGGGCAACCTTGCTGTTGTCCCTTTTCCAGTCCCTCAGGAACAGTGGACCTCAGTGTTACGACAAAGCTGCCAGGAAGGTGAGGAATGTGAATTGGGGAGCAGAGGGGCAGGAGCATAGAATTCCTTCAATGGGGTCCTGTTTCCGGGGATCTTTCGTCTTCGGCCACATCATGTCCAAGTGGACAGGACATTCCACAATCACCTGCTATATTACCTCTTATACTCACTGTAGCCGACCTCTTTTTCCTGCGGCCCAATCCGGAGGCTTTGTTTTCAGCCTCATTGGTTGAACACCCAACAAAACAGCCCCAGCAGGCACAGCTGGGGGTTCAGGGGGCACGTGGTGCTACCCACTCATTTTGTTGTTTAGGGCCCCTACTTCTATGTTTCGAACACCCAGGCTATGTTCGAAAACCAGGCCAACTGTCCCACCGACCTTTTTGCAACCCTGGAGTGGGAGTTTTCCCCCACTCCAGACCCCAGTGTGTGGGCTGCTAGGATCTTCTGAACTCCTGGAAACCCAAAACTACTGGCTTCCGTACCCCTCTGGCAGATCAGAGAGCTGTATCTCGGGCTTGCAGTCAGACTCACTCCCTCTCCCACTAGATGAGGAGACCCTTGAGGGCAGGGACCTTGATCTGGGGACTCCATCCACACCAGACCTGCCCAGGCAGGTGAGCACCTGGTGCCCTCCGCTTACTGGTTCAACGAGTTGTTTTTGGTTTTTGTTTTGAGCAAATGGAGTATAAATGATGATGTGTTGTGGAGGGGGAAGGCTTGGGCCTTGACTTTCCCCCTCAGAGGGGTTCCGGAGATGGTGAAAATTAGGGGAGTAATTCAGGGTCAGGGGAGGGGAGAGGGGAGATAGGAACTCTGCCATTGCTCCTGAGGAGCTATCCTGCCCACCCCCTTTCCTGGGACCCAAAGCTGGGTTGGGAAGACGCTCTGGGGTCCCCTGCCCCCAGGTAGCTGAGCCAGTGTCATTTCCCACGAAGCTGGAAGCAATCGGTCCCTGGAGTCTGCTGCCCAGAGGCAATGCCGTCTTTACAGCCTGGTCTATACTGTATCCTGACTGCCAAATTCCTGCTTGCTGCCTATACTGCCAGGGTCCAGCCTTATTCTATCTTCAGTGGAAGGGGAAGGGGTTAGTCTAGCAAAAATCTGCTTTCCCTCTAGTTTAGCGAATATTTCAGACAAAGGCGAGGGAAAGAGCATTGCATGAATTGCCAGGATAAGGGGACCCTGTAGACCCAAACAAAATGAGTTATTCCTTAGCACAAGAGAATAGTTCAAGTAAACCCCCAAACGTTCCATCGGCTTTAATCCAGATTGTTTTGGTAGTCCCATTTGTTTCCAGATTATTTGTGTAAGCACCAGCAATGGCCCTTAGGCCAGAGCTCCCCTTAGAAAAAAAGGTTCTGACACCGCTTGAAATGAGTTAACTTGACCACCAATTGGGATCATTTTTGTCCCCCAGGGACCTGCTACTCTGACAGTCTTTGTGGAATTCAGAGTGTTTCTTCTGCTATTGAAGTCGACTCCGATAGATGGCCTCCTGCCTCCCTGGCTGAACCAGGACTGGCCCCTCGGTTTTTATATTCCGCCCTGGGCCACCGTCAGCAGTAACAACAACAACAATAACCATGACAATAAACACCAGAAGCCCTTACCGCGTACCTGGCTTCAGGCTAAGAGTTTTATTCATTCATTTATTACTCACAACCCTATGAGGTAGTAGCTACCGCTGTCACGCCAATTTTAAATATAAGGAAAATGAGTCCCAGAGAAGTTAAGTAACCCATCCAAAGTCACACAGCTTGTTCTAGAGTAATTAGGATTTGAAGATTGGTTTTTCAAACTCTAATTCTAATCCCGGAACCATGGAGTTTTAACTAGCCCCCGCCCTGGGGTGGGGGGGGGGACTCTTTGAATGGGCTTCGGGGGGGCTCTGCAGATCCCAGAAATTGTGTGTAAAATTATGGATGTGAGCCCAAGTGGGCACATTTTTCCAGGGGCAATATTACATAACCCATTGGATTCTCAAAAGGGGTTGGAGGTCCAGAAAAGGTTAAGACCAGAAGCAGGCCGACCAGAGGGAGGGAAGCTGCCCCCCTGGCAGGTCTGGGGAGCAGGGAGCCAGCTGCTCCAAAGTCCAGGCCAGGCTCCAAGCCTACTTCTGGGCCTGCCCTGCTATCTGTGGCCACTGGCTCTCAGACCTCTTCCTGCCCAGGTCGGGGAAGGCGCTATGGCGAGGCCACTGCTTTGGAGAACACCCCTTCCTGCTTCTCCCCCACTCACTTCTTCTGTGAACTGAACCCCAGAGCCTACTGACAGGGTGGCCTCGCCACATAGGCGAACCTCTTTCAGGCACTTCAGCCCTGCATGGGGGGGGGGGATGCATTTTGGAATGGGGGGGGTGGTGCATAAACAGACTACTGAGTGATGGAGACAGGTAGAGATGGGAAGAGACTTCCCAGGAGGTGCTCAAGACCCATGTGACCATACTCTGGAGCCTCCAGAACATCGCTCATTTTTTATGGTCCTTTGCTCCCCTCAACTGGGGGTCAGAAGGGTCTCAGTCACTTCCCTGCCTTGTACCTTTTGCTCTGGTTTTAGTGCTCAGCTGTCTTGCAGAATCTTCCCTGCCCTGTTCAGTTCCTCTATGCTCCTTAGCGAACTTCCCTCAGAGTCATTGTCAGATTGTCAGGAACGTGCTGGTTTGTCTGTCTGCCCTTCTGCCTCTCTTTCCACCTGGCTTTGGGAAGAAAAGTACCTGGATCTCTTCTCTATGCCCTATGCCAGCCTGGCATATAGCAAGGGTTCTTCATCCATTTTTAAAATTTTTTTTAACATTTATTTATTTTTGAGAGACAGAGACAGAGCATGAGCAGAGGAGAGGGGGAGAGAGAGAGAGAGAGAGAGAGAGAGAGAGAGAGAGAGAGGGAGACACAGAATCTGAAGCAGGATCCAGGCTCTGAGCTGTTTGTTAGCACAGAGCCTGACGCGGGGCTCAAACTCACGAACCGCGAGACCGTGACCTGAGCCCAAGTCGGACGCTCAACCGACTGAGCCACTCAGGCGCCCCTCTTCATGCATTTTTGAATGAGTAAACTAAATGAATAATAAGAGACAAAAGAGAGAGCCAGGCAGGGACTTCATTCAGCCTGCCCCCCCCCACCCCCGAGAGAGGGGACCAAGGGTATGAGTGAAGGGTAGGTGCATTGTTTTGCCAGCTGTGTGCAGATGTGTGAGGCGCCCCTGCTGCTGATACCTCCAACACTCACACAGGGGCACAGAGACCTCATTCTTTAATGCCTTTTGGCTGTGGAGGGAGGTGGGAGGTCCTGGGTTCTGGACCCAGCTGTGGTGTGGCCTGATTCAGGAATGGAGTTTCTGTTCTCTCTGTCTTTCTTTCTACAGGATTGAGCCCCCATCATGTTTTGGGCCCAGAAACAGAGAGGAAGACAGACAGAAGAAGGAGGGTGATGGGCAGGCAGGAGTGGCAGGAGACGGACATTTTCATCCCAGTAGCCCAGGGGACTGAGAAGAGGATAAGTGGGAGGAGTCTGGTTCTGTCCCAGTGCAAGTGACATTTGCATTGAGCCTTAAAAAAACCAAGAGCATTTGGGTAGGTGCAGGGGCGGGGACCACTTTCCAGGCAAGAGAAACAGCCAAGCAGGAGGCCAGCAGTGTCAGCCCAAAGGGGGAGCCAGAATGCCACCCCCCCGCCCCATATTTCCTCCCTCTGTGGCCTGGGCAGCAACCTGCTCTGGGGGGTGGGGGGTGAACTCCTTGGTCCCTTGTGCACCCCCATCAGGTCTGCAGCCTGGGGCAGGGCCTAGTGGGCTCCCAGGATGGCTACTTAGGGCCACAGGGAGGGGGGCAGTTGGAAAAAGGCCACACCCCCAGCCTGCTGCTCCCGGACCTAGGGTGGGGGTTCCATTTTCCTTGCTACCCACAGAAACTCCAACAGTTGATCCTCTCTTACTAACCTAGATGGCCCAGGAACTCTTGGGCTTGAGCAAAGCTGCTGATGCTTGTCGGTGCCTCCCATTCCACAGAAGTGTCTCACAGCCTGTGGGGCACCCGGCTGCAGACGGGCAGCAGTGGGGCCTGGGCTAGGCCAGGGGGACAGAGGGAGGAACGGGCCAGTCGGCCGGGAATGGCAAGGAGACCTAGGGGCGGGCCAGCAGGGCTAGGCGGCTCTGGAAAGGCCTGAGTCAGGCTTCTCCCAATAAACTGCACGTGAATAATTCAGCAGCCATGTGGGGGCTCATTGCATTAGTGCCGCCGCCAGCTCAGCCCCTCGCCTTCCCGCTGAGGGGAGGGGGCGACTCTTGCGCTCGAAGAGGGGAGCCAGGTGGAAGACCCCCCTGCCCGCTGGCATCCTGGATTCTGCCGGGACCAAGTCCCAGAAGACTCCCTGGTCCCCGATCTCCTCCGACCCCAAGGTCAGAGGGCTGCCTGCCAGGCAGTGCTGTTCCAGCTCAGCCGCTCTCAAGACCCTGGGCGAGACCACTCAGGCGGCAGAAGCAAGGCCAGAATAGGGGAAGCGGGGTCCGACTGCGGAGGACCAAGCTGCTGCAGTGCCCAACCGCACCGCAGAATGCGGGCGGCTTGGCTCCCAGCAAAGCGAAGAAGGCCGGCTCAGTCCTGCGCTCAGAGCCCGGACGCCCTGAGGCTGCTCCTCGGGCCAGGATTTTCCTAGCGAGCCGAGCGAAGCTCCAGGCAAGCCGCAGGGCCCTTCATTTTCTGTGGATACCGGGTTACCCGGTCTCTGTTCCCGCCTTTCGGACCCGCGGAGCCGGTTCCTGCCACGCCAGCCTCGGGTGTGGGCCCCGGGGCCGAGTGAAGCGGAAGGTGGGAGGCGGGAGGGGGTGGGGAGAGGCGGAGGGGGAGGGAAGGGAGCCCCAGGCTGCTGGGCCTGAGCGAGAGGGTCAGTGCGAGCGCCTGCAGCCTTATTTCGTTTGGGCGGAACCAGCTCCCCTTGGCTATTCCACTTCCCACGTGTCCCTATGTTCCTGATCTTGAGGGATCACATCCCATCAAACATCCACCGACGCTTAATGGCTCCAGCTCTTTCCCACGCCCCTCCCCTTCCATTAGGTCCACCCCATCCTGTCTGCAGTAGTGACCCTACTCCTGCGTGCTGAACTTCGGGCCCAGACCCTCGTGCCGGCCCCGCTGGCCCGCCTGGGGCCTGGGGCGGCGCCGGCAAGGCCCCCACACCTAGTCTTCAGGGTGTTCCTGACCGGAAGCCAGACCATTAGCCCTGCGGAGGGCAGCTCGTTTCCCGCCTGCCCCTCTCAGCACCCCCAGCAATCTTCTTCTTCTGCCCAGGCTTACTCCTCCTCTTCCTCTTTCCTCAGCCTCCAGGCATTTCTTTCTCATTCCTTTTTAAGTTCAGTGAGGTGCTCAGCACCGGCCTCAGGCTCCTGGGGAGGCTTGGGCTTACTCGGCCGGCGGCCGGCCGCTCTGAGTCCTCAGCTGAAACGCTGGGTTAACCACAAAATTTCGAACGCCTTCTGCAGCAGGGCCACCTGAGTGTCTTTGCAGAGGCAGGTGAGAGGACTGATGGCACCATGACCTCAGACAACTCCACTCCAGGCCAGCTGTGTGATCTTGGGTAAGTCTGTTAACCTCTCTGAGTTTTGATGGGGGCAAAGTCGGGAGACTTAGGGAGAGAGATGGGAGACTAAGACTTTTCATTCGTTTGGGAAAAGGGGTTGCCTGCTTTGGGGCCCAAGGAGGAAGTGAGGTTCGGGAGAATTCGAGGTCTAGAATGGCTATTTATTTTAACGAATATTTCCAGGAACAGCTGGTAGCTGCTTTTATTTTTCTCTTTTACAGCTGATAGGGTGCCAGGTGTTAGAAACCTTCTCTCCAATCCTGGCCGGGTCCGGTTTTACCCAAGAGGAAACTGAGGTTAAGATCACCTCCCGCTGGTCAGTGCCACAGGTAGGATTCACACCCATATCAAGCTGGGAGGCACTCTTGAGTTTAAGCCACACAGTCTAGCCTTGGACTGGTGAATTGAGACCCCACAGGGCTGGCTGCTACCTAAGCGTGGAGGGGTTGGGCTGAATCTCCAAGCGTTTCCTTTTTTTTTTCGTGCTGGGAAAGTTTTGAAATTTTTGTTTTTAGGTAAACGAGTTTGGCGGCTCCCAGAGAAGGATCGAACTAATACCCAGTGAGGGACTTCCGGCATGTAATGGGACAGCCTCTGGGACAGGACAGGGAGGACAGCGTTTCTCCAAGCCCAAGTCCGGGGAGGTGGCCTTGGCAGGGCCAAGGTAGAAGCCATCGCTCCCCAAGTTTTCCTCCCACGAGTCTATGCATCTGTTCATGAATCTATCTGTCCTGTGGGGCCCACGTCCCCAGAAGCCCCCCATCGAGGGAGAGAAGGAACACCAGAGAGAAGGCACACGGCCCAGGGCAGAGGTATGGCCAAACGATCCCCCCACTCTTTCACCCTCTCCCGGGGCGTCTCTCTGAGGTAGGCTCCTCCTAGCTGCAGAAGTGGGACTGGTTGTGGGGGAGTAGGGGAGGGTAGGCTGGAAGCTGGGGCCTGGGGACCCCTGACTGGGCAGGGGAGGGCTGTAATCCGGCTCCCCGGCGACCGTCCCCAGCTCCCGCTGCAAGGTCGCCCTGTGGCAGCCCCGACAGGCCATGCGTCCCTCGACACAAGTCCCATTATATTGTATTTATGTTTCACTTTATTGGTTTTTTTTCCCTCTCTTATTATTGTCTCACTCTGGGGGAGGCAATGGATATAATATATTCATCTTTATTATACCAAATCTGTGTGAAGCATTTAATAAAACGCTGTTTCCACACAGCCAGGGATATTAGTGTGAGCTATTCTTAAGTTAATGCTCGGGTATTGAGGGCGCTTCCGCCACAGCGCCTGCTGCTGGCGGCCCCGGGGAAGCTCAGGCCCTGGCCGGGGGCGCCCGGCGCCCACCCAGAGCGCCCCGTGCCCTTCCCGCTTGAGTGCTCATCCTAGCCGTGGCTCGGTGACCCTTCGGGCCCCGGGCCTGGGAGGAGGGCCTCGGAAGAGCGGAGTCCAAGCCCTCCCCACCCCGCTCGAGTTTCTAACTGACTGTGAGCCTTGGTTCGTGCCTAGGCAAAGGACTAGAATTCCATAACCGCTTTCCTCTCAGGGCTCTTCGTTGGGAGGCTGAAGAGGCCTCGGGGGTGGACAGGGCTTTATAAACAGGAAGGAAAAAAAGCGAGGATTTGTCGAGATGGGGTCGACGAGGGCCAGAGAGAAACAACGGAGGTCACAAAAGTAGTTCTAGACAACACAGACTCTCAAGCTGAACCCCAGGCCAGGCTGCAGAGCCAGCACAACTCCAGTTTGAGCCGAGCTGGGAAGCTTTCAGTTCACCTGGGCTTTACCCGCAGCAGCCGCTGGTGAAGGCGACTGTGTGTAGCAGAGCTCTGGGACTGTCACAGTGGGCTCTCCCATGGTTCACCCCCTAGGTAGGCAAGCGGTCTCCGTGGTCCAGTTTACAGCTAGCACACTGACACTCAGAATGGTCAAGTGGCTTGTTTGAGGTGCTCCCGCTGGGATGTATCATGCTGGATCATACCTTCTTCAGACTCTGCTCCCTTCCCTTCTTCCCCCAGCCCTCCTGCTCCCTACCTTCCCTCCCTCTCCCTTCTCCAGCCCCATCCTCCAGGGTTTTCCATGGCTTATGAGCTTTGCATTTCTGCTTCCTACACACACACACACACACACACACGCGCGCGCGCGCGCGCGCGCGCACACACACACACACACACACACACACCCCTACCTGGGGATGCTCAGGAGAAGGAGAAACAGTCACATGGATTTCCACATCCAGGCTCACTGCCCAATGTCCTTTAGAGCCTGCTGCTTGGGTTCTTTTAAGGCCCAGATTTGGGAACATCAGCCTGTCTTATACCAGTGCTGTGGGGGAAGGTTAGGGGCAACTAGACCAGGCCAGAAGGAGGTGATGTGCAGACAAAGATTGGAGTGGGCAGGTAAGTCCCCCTGTTATGACTAATACCCTCCCATAGACCTCCTGTGCCCCCATCACCTCGTATTTGGGGCTGTACTAGGGCACCCCCCACACTGTAGGCTGCTGGTGGAGTTTGTTTGGAGGCTAAGGGTATTGGACAAATCTGACAGTTTCCAGCTGGGCTGGCTGGGGGAGGAGGATACAGACCCACTGTGTGGCCGGGTTGGGACTCGGGTGAGGCAAGTGAGGTGCCTTGGGCACAGGACTGAAGGGGGTACTCGCTCTGAGCGTTATGTACTTAAATTCCGGGCTTAAGCATCTCATTTGCCTCACCCTAGTCCCAGCTCTTCTGTGTGGTCCCAGGGGTGGAATCACCACCACAAATTGCCGAGCAGAGATGGGATGACTTCAGCTTATCCTTGTGAATGGCTTTCTGAAGGGTAGAAGCGAAGACAATGGAATGAGTTGCCTTATGTGGGAGTGAGCTCCCCCCAACAGGTGGAGTATGCAAGCGGGGCTTAGAATCTGCCGAGAAGGCTGGTAGACACAATTTTATTGCCATCCTCATCATCTTCGCTATTTTACCATCACTCCCTTTGTGCCACATAAGAGCTTTCCCACATTATCTCATGTAATGCACATAAACATGTTTGGGCCAAGGATGGGATATCAGAGTCTCTGAACTTCTGGGTCCTTTTCAGCTCTGAGAGTCTGTTGTTGCAGAAGACAGAGGGCACTTCTGTTGATTTGAGTGGCTCATTGCATTATAGGTATTATTTGGACTTGTCTCATGGCCTTTGCTAGTGGGTAAACTCTTTAAGGGCACCGACTGTGTCTAATCTCATGTTTTTTTTTTGTTGTTGTTTTTTTTTACCGCTCCCTCTCCTCTTCCATGCCCCACACAGAATGAGGCATATAACACACGTTTAACAAATATGTGTTGAACAAACACGTGAGTAAACCACTATCAAGAGCCGTCCGTACACCTGACCATATACTTTCCGGGCTACGACCAGCAAAGCTATCTGGGTGGCTACTGGGAGGGCCGGTACCACCTCTGCAGTCATTGTCCCCCTTGCCCCACAGCTGAGCTGAGTTCAGGCAAGGACTTCTAGATCCTCCTGCCGCATCGTGGACCCAGCCCTGTTCTAGTCTGTGGGTAAGACAAGGGCCAGCCCAGTTCTGGCAGCGCAGGCAGAGCTCAAGGCTCATACTGGACAAGCCTCAGGAGAGGCCATTCAGGTGGGGGAGGAGGCCTCTGGGAGGTCAGAGCAGGGAGAGAGCAGGGAGAAGTCTGCACGGCAGAGTTGGGACTAGAGCTGGGCCTTGAAGGGTGGGAAAAATTGAGAGGCCGATGGGAAGAATGGAGTATTCCAGGTCAGAGCGGGAGGGCCACCAGAGCAAGAGGGCAGAGCGGGACTGCCCACAGCGGTTTTGGAGTCGGGAGGGCTGGCTTAGCTGGAAAGAGCACCAGGGGAAGATGAATGGGAAAAGACATTGGTGGAATACCTTGAATGTCACCCACCCACCCATCTGCACCCTTCCCCCACACCCTGTCCTCCCCTCCACCCTCTGATACAGGTGGGATCTCGGCTTCTAGGCTGAACCCAGCTGGGCCAGGCCGCCGGAGGGCGGAGCCGTGGTGCCTGCGGTGGTGCCAACCCAGCCAGCGTGTAGGCGTTGCTCTGCCGGCCTGTCGCGGAGCGCGAGCCTGCCAAGGAGCCGGAGCGCTGTGCCGCGTGGAGGGTGTCAGGGGTGGTATTGTCGGCGCACAAATGCTCAACTTTATGTACTTTTAACTAGAGGTGTAACAGATGGCCCCGTTTCTGTCCAAGCCAGGGAGACTGGTGCCCATTCCGG